CTGCTGAGCTTCGCGGCAAAGACATTCTACGGTTTAGGCCATGGGATCAGAACAAACTGCCGGAAGACTGACCCGACATGAGATGAGAAGCATACTACTACAGGCATCCTCGGACTTCCACTCGGGTCAGACTTTGGGGCTTCGGCCTTAGAGTTCAAGTGACGTGCTGCATAAGCTCAGCTTTGTGCATGCAGGCAATGACCGATGAGGGGAGCCACGCGGAAGGCCCGGAAGGTCCGACTACCGACTTGCCACAATCAACAGAGTCCTCTCTGGTTGATTCGGAGACCCAAGCTTCAAAACTGTTCCTGGCTGAGATCTTGGGCCCTCGTTTTCAACATGCGAAGAAAGCCCTTCAGCCGCGGAATCGAAGAATAGATAGAAAACTTCCAGTGCTCAAGCGCCTCCTAAGCATGCTCCTTCGTTTCAATACGTTCGGTTGGCGGGACCAGCCTGGACCGCCGAAGCCACTTGCTGGGGGCGGCGGGGGAACGCCGAAGCCTCGAATCCGGCGGACGTGCAGAAGGAGGAAGCTCGCACGGGGTTGGAAAGATCAGAGCCCGGTCAAGACATAAATCTGATGAGGCGATGGTCCCTTCGGCGCTGTGAGTCTCTCTATGCCTACGGGTCAATCACCCTTTGCGTGTCACCTTTCATGTCGTGTCAGCAAATGGGTTCGCGATGCACCAACCCAAGAACACCTCCCAGGGAGGGTTGGCCTGCATCGTGCCCGAGGCCGGCGGAGGGGTGGGCTTCGGCACCGAAGCCTCGAGAAATCCACCGAAACGAAGAAAGTGCAAGGGCTGACGACTGGAAGTCCCCGATGTTCCGATCTGATCTTGGATCACGACAGGCGCGAAAAGAAACGAGGGTTCGGCTCTGGCCCTGCTTGTAGAGCGCGCCTTCTTGCACGAAGCCTCCGGCCATGTGGCTCTGCGCATGACCTCCGGAGGTGTGGGAGACTTTGAGCATGGAGAGCCGTCGCCAGTCTGAGCCACCGGCCGAGGTTGCCATTCATCGCAAGCCCGGCCGGTGCAACGCCTGCAATGGCCGGTGCCTCGGATCACAGAACCATCCCCACTCTGAAACACACATCTGCGGACACATGTCTAGGCTTGTACGGCAGGCTGGGGATATTCGCCGCCATTTATTGGTCCAAAACCCTTTACTCACGGACAGTCGCAGACAGTCGCGATCCAGGATCCTGGTGCAGACCATCACAAGGACACGAAAGCAAAAATGTCAAACTCGGAAAGCACTGAGACTGAAGGAGCCCAGGAACCCACCAACCCGCGGACTAAGCCCAAAATCATAAGCCAGTGGACCTGATGTTCTGCTTCTGGAGCTAGGCTAGGGTCGAAGCCTGTCAAGACAAACAATGGGGAGGCTTGTTTGCAGGTGAAGCTTTCCTGGCAGCCGGGCCACCCACTTAACTACTGCTGATCATGCCGCGATATTGATCTGTTCGATGGCAAACCGCTTTACCCTTGCTACCGCTGCCGACAGTCAGCACTGACACCCATCCGGACGTAGCAAGGTCCAAACCCCCTCTGCCTCCTGCATGCATGCCATGCATGGTAGCCACGTCCTGCCGCAAGCCAGCACGTGGAAAGTTTGGGGCTCGACAACAACTTCCTCAACCCGACTTTTTACAAAACCAACAAAACCTCACCCGACGGGTACGAAGGTGTGTACAGTTGGGGAACGACCATTGACATACGGGAACATCTTTGGTTTAACGACAAATACCAGAACACAGCCGAGTTGTTTACAATCTTTACAACAAAGCAGCGAAGGCGTCCACCTGAGGGACCAAAACCCAAACCTCTGATCATACACCCCCGAAGAAAATACATCATGGTCGATGATCATGGTGGAAATTTGTAGTTAGCTGCACCGGATGACTTGTTCTAATACGATAAACTCATAGCTTGTTTTAGTACGATAAAATCACGGATACGGCACAACGAGAGCTCCAATTCGCCAACACGTTTTTTCTTCTGCTTGCTGACCGTCAGTACTGTTGTTTCTGGTCACTAATCATGCTGATGACACCGGCGGCCGGGCTGTACAGATTTTCACGGAATCTCAGAAAAAACACATTGCTGGTAAACGTAGTTCGGTATTTGCCATGTTCAATCTTCAGCGCCGCGGCGCTGCTCTGCTGTCATAGGCAGCTCTTCCTCGCAGAATGCCAAATTTCGCTCCTTGGCATCAGCCGCTATCAGCCTTTATAGCACCGTGAATGTTGAGCTCATCTCGTGTGGTTAGCCAATCATTAGCAGCTAATCGTTATGGGCGAAATGGGTTAGTGCCCTGTGTGCGGCAGATGCCCACTTTTTCCATGCGCAGGAACGATAAACGATGACCATGTTGCAGCCCAGACTTCACGTGCACGGTAGTCATCCACTCTGTCATGCATTCGATTTCCTGACGTGCGGTCAACCTTAGTTGAACGGCATCGCGCCGGGCTGCAGGGCGCCATGGAGATCGGCACGGTGCCGGCCATGATGCCGATCGTTTGGATCGGCACCATGGCACCCTGCAGCCCTGCGTCGACTTCTGTGCCGTTCGGTACTCATTCAGGGAGCCTTGGAGTACGATAAAACACTGGATGCGGCATTTGTCTGGGAGTCTCTTGCATCGGATGGGGCTTGGGTGTCTTGGAGCACGATAAAGTACGATACTTTTCTCAGACGTTCGGGAGGGACTCACTCGCTCACTAGACTCACTCGCTCACAATACCGGTCTAAACCATGCGATCCTCAGTCTTCATGACTTGCAAAAAGGCGTATACGACGCCGATTGTCAGAAATGAGCCAAGTCGTCCATAATCGCTTCGACAAACCTTTCGCTGCTTTGCAAATTCCACGATCTGTCCTTTGCTTGTTTTTTGTAAAGAGTCTTGTCAAGAGGAACATGGTCCTGGAGCAACCAGGAAAGATACGCATGCTGGAAGCCCAATTTGGCCTTGCTGGCGGTGTGCACGTCTTCGGCCTTTTGGCGAGCTCGGCATCCGATGGATATTCATCTGTGGGACGCCGCTGTCGCAACGCAATTTGAAAGCATTCCTCGTCGCTTTATAGGAAGTGTACTTTATTTAACCGTTTCGTGCTGCAGCTTCAAAATCTTCGTCTGCTCGATGATGTTCGTCTCCTGTCGAAGTGCGCGTAGCTGCCCAAGCACTTTGGCTAACCTTGTTGTCGTCAAGTTGTCCCTGCTTCATATCTTCGGCTGGTGTCTTTTCACATGGTGCTGGAGAAGAATGGGCTGACTGCCATCCAAGCCTCTGCGACTCTGTGCATGGCATCTCACGACCAGGCACGGAGGCATCCCTTGGCAGCGCTGGCTTCCATGGACATCCATGGCAGCTGGAGACAACGGAAAGCGCAGAGGGCTGGCTGCTGACCAGCAGACACAAATGCCGCAAACACAATAATACGCTCTCCCTTTACAAGGGCTGTGCTTGGGATGCAGGGGGGCGCCAGGTGTGCATCATGACTAGCAGATGGCTCGGCCGGGGAAAACAACGGGCGCAGCTGACGCTCATGATGCTGGCACCGGGGGCGCGCATCATGAGCATCAGGTGGTCCGGCCGGGCGTGGCCGAAAAATACAACAAGTGCTGCTGAAGCTCATGATGCTCGTCGGAACTTGCCAGAAAAAACGTAGCGAAGCGCTGTAAATGCCGATGACAACACGGATTGAACGATGCAGGGGACACTCGCGGTGATGCTGAAATGGGGCCCCGATCTTCTGCAAATCCGATGTCGCGGTCTCCCACCTCCCCCACCCCCCACCCCCCCCGTTTTAGGCTTCGCCCGGCAACTACAAGACGCCACATGGGCGCTTTCCGTCAAATCAAAAGGAAAGATATTATGGTCGCCAGTACTCGCAAAGCTAACTCGGCACAAATAGCTGCAAATCTGCCCCGGATGTGGACTTGTACTGTCTTGGCAGAGCCGCTCAAAACAGATGGCACCACAGCCGTCAGACTCTAGAAGAAAAAGCAACTACAAACTACAAAATTCACTCTGCGGCAGTGCTTACTCTGACCCGGTTCCTGCTGGGCTGCATTGAAATCGACCTGTGGTGGGTGGAGCGTCTTGCCATTCATCTCCTGGGAAAGGCTAGCTCTTATGAGAGTCCGGCTGGCGGCTGTTCCAGGCTATCAGCTCAGCAGCCTCTGCCTGCAACCGAAAAGACCCTCAGTTCCATCCTGCACTGCACTCGCGGAACCTGCAACCTGAAGGTCCAACTGCAACGTCAAATCTCTCTTGGCCACCGGACGGCGATGGCTGCCTGCGCCAGGCCGGCATCCGCCATGGTAATGAAGCCCCACCTGACTCTCAGGACAAACTCGGACCTCTTTGACTACGATCTCGGATTCATGCATGGCGCTGTTCGGACTCCTTCTGTCTATGCTGGCTCCCTTCTCCAAAAAATACAGTTCACATGGTCCAGCCCGGTGACACACCCTGAACCAGCAAGGCAGCTGCATCCCTCAACCTTGCGCTCTCGCATCCTTTTTCATCTTTGGCCACAGGGGGCACGTGGAGCCTCTCGCGCACATTGGAGATTCTCCCGAGATGGATGTCAGCATGATTCAGCATGTGTGGCCACACCTCAACCTTTGCTTGCCGGGATCGTGAAAGCCTCACAGTTAGAAGAAGATCCGTCGCTTAGAGAACACAAAACTGAGCACTGCACCTGCACGAGCTGACAAACAAACCTTTTGGTTCTATCTGCTCACACCCAGCATCCGGTCATCTCAGCGCAAGAAGCTGGACATTAACACTTCAGACAGCGACATACATCACCATCTTGGGATATGCAACATCCCATAACGGACCTGAATCCTTGCACTCCTACCCCCCCAAGAAATGCTGCCTAGCACAGCAAATGCAGCCCGGCAGGAAGCTCTAAATCCTCCAGAGCTGCCACCCGCACAGCTGTAAACCCCAACATTGTTGCCACAGACAGCAACTTCTGCGCGCAGCGTCAGACGGTGCCATTGCCCGCGTCCGCATCGCAGGCAAACGTGATGGGCGAGAGCTCCCCATCAAGACAGGTGATTTGATCCACATCCGCCTGGACTTTCGGGGTGTAATTGCTTGCGCAGATGCCGTGGGATTGAGCAAACACACAATACTGGTGGCGTTTGCCTGTTGGCGCTTGGGTGCTCTGGCATCACGGTCGGTCTTGACAGTTTCACACCGATCTAGCGCCCCACTCGCGTGCAGCAAGGGTGCGGTGAAGCCCGGCAAGCAAGCAGGAGTACAGTTGTATCCATGTTGGATGAGGTCCCCCTCCTGGCAGGTGATGTTGGCCTGCAGCTGCTGCACATATTTTGTGGTATCTCGGATCATCTGAGTAGCAGTGGCTTCGGGGTAAATGAGAGTGCAAATCGAGAGCTCATCAGAGCGGTCTGTGTTTCCATCTATGTAGCTTGCAGGTGGGAGATCTCAAGAGGCCGCTAAGAAAGCCTTGCAGCGAGACATTAACTCAAAGCACGGCCAGATGGATCCCAGCAGCCGAGTTGTCGATGTAGCTCCCCGTCGGAGAATAGCAAGGCACATCCACTTGGATTTGGCCAGTTGTGGTTTTCCGATCCTCAGATCGGTAACTGCTGAAGAACAACCTGCAGATCCAAAGGGGCGTGCTAAGACTACATCTTCGCTCCCGATCCCGTTGGCATGGTCGCTGGCATTCTGAAGTGAGAGGACGGTCGCTTAAATTCCAGGGTTGCGCATTCCAGCAGCAATCTACTGAGACGATTACCAACAGACCATTGACAAGCCGTGAAACTCTATCAAACTCCAGTTCTCGTGGTAACCCTTAGCTGAAGATGCTCAACCCCGGACTCTTGGAACAATCGCTTCCGTGAATCCACGGGCACGATGGAGAGTCCAGTGTTGCGATCCTTGACCTCGTGGAGGATGACCCAGTCAATGTTATTGGGCGAGCCTTGGCACAACGCACATGAGACTGTGCTGGAGGAATCCATGCTTGTCCCAATCCGACAGCCCACGCACGTTGCCGCATCTCAACTAACGGGCTTGCTCTTGGGCATGAGCATTCATGTATGAGAGAGTCCAGAAGAAACCAAGGCGCCCCAGAGCTGCCAGCGCACCGGATCTCGCTGCGGCTCGTCGTTACCCGTCACGAAGCTGTAGCTAAACGCTGGCTGTGCAACCGGCAGCCTGCAGGGATGGGTCGGTCTGCACAGGTGAGGATAGCACTTGTTTCACCCACCATGCCGTTTCAGCTGCTGCTACAACTTCTCAAGGCCCTGCAGAACACTGTACTTACAAGAACAAGGGCTTGCGTAGACTCCGACTGCAACTGGGACCGAACTACGGAGAAGCGGGTCGAGGTTTGTGGCTGGCCAGCCTCACGAAGAAAGCGTTCGACGAATAGTCCAACCATTTCGTTTCCGCGTTGAAGTCTCCGAGGTTGTACGGTTCCTGCCAGGGCTGCGAGTGACATCGCACTTGGACCTCGGGCCTTGCAAGCGGCCATCCTACTTCAGCTATCGGGATCTATGGGTGCTGAGCGCTGTGCTTCCAGAAGAGTTCGAAATCGTTGTTGCGTCTCAGAGGCTCCGGGGCTCAGCCTCCAAAAAGGCCTTCTGGCTGTTGCCATAATTGCAAGATGACGCCCTCTCGCTAAACCAATGTTTTCAGTCTCTGCTTTTCAATACACGTTCCATTTCTTTTCACCGCCTCATGTCCTTGCAGCTTCCACGAGGTATACAGTAGTCGGTAGTTCCTCAGAGACTACCCCTCCGCACAACTACAGGCGTTGAGGATGTTCATGCGAACGAGGAAAACACACGAAAATGATGATCTGCGTATGTATCCCGAGCTCCAAGAAGCTTCACAAATCTTCAGACCTTGACCCACCTTGGAGCCCCCATGGACACATGGCCACTGTCCTCTCGAAGGTTCACTGGCGTGTCGCACGGATCGCAGTAGAAGACCCTGGTCGGACCGATATTCGAGGTGTCATCTCTAACCTATTTGTCAACTCCCCAGAACGAGCTCTTAGTCTTAGCGCTGACCTAAAGATTGGGAGCATAGGCAACAACTGACACCTCAGGAATTCACCAGTCAACAAAGGGACAAGCCAGCTGCTACCAGACACCGAGTGGTGCTTCCACCCCACCATGAAGAAGCCACTTTACGGCCTTCAGGCTATCGAAGCCCTTGCGCAAGGATAAACCAAACCCCTCTTGGCCAAGGAGCGCCGAGTTGTAGCCGTCGACCAGCACCTGCCAGTGCTGCGCCCGCTTGAGATCGCAAGAAGAGCTTGCTTCTTAGCTGTGGCCCTGCTTGGGAGCAGCTTCCCCTGCATTCTCGAATCTACTTCCATGGAGCCGCATACCTTGCTACGCCTCCGCCTTGTCACAGCACAGACACCCCCTTCGGCCTGCTGGTTGTACAAGAAGAAATCCGACATCTGAACCACCTCGCCATTGCCACGAGGCCCAAAAGCACGTTCCACATCGGAGTGTTCTGACCGAAGCAGCGAGTCCCAAGTGATCCCCTACCCGCGGAACACTTGAGCACCCACTCTGCTAAAATGGCAGGAACTTTGGTGGAGATTGTAAAGTCCGTACAGGCGCAGGCGGTGTGCCAACCGGCAACTGCTCACAAAAGTCGATTTCCTGAGCGCATGACGGTGGATCCACTCTGGCGCAGCTCGAGGGGCAGGAACCTGTAGTAGGACAGAGCCTGGGCACGGGATTTCCAGGCTTGAGGATGGCAGGTCTGCAGTGCAACTCTGAGCAAAAGAACTTCTGAAAGCCCTCCCGTCACATCTACCTGGACTCCGAAAGAGCGCGTCCAGTTGGGGCAAGAGACCATACCACGCTCGCAGCACCAGAAAAGGTCCCGTGACTCTATGCAGGTTGTTCCTGGGATGGGCGGACGATGGCCGATTGCGCAGAGCAAACAAGCTCTAAGTCACGCAAACCTGCTGCTAGCTGCCAGCTGCCGTCAAACCATCCCCGGAATTGACAGCCAGAGCTCCCTGGCAGTAGGTGTCATACCGAAGCACCTGGGCAAGAGGGGTCCACATGTCTCTCAACCGCTGCACAGCCTGATGTTGCAGACCCCTCTCACGGATCGACAACTCAGAGACCCTGGAAGCCAAGGCAGTCCAAGGCACGTAGTTCAGTGGACACGTGATAGCCTCGGTCCCAAGAACATCGTGGGGCAACCTCCTCTACTTCATCTCCGACATCGAGAGTATGTAAAAGGGCACCCTGTAGCAGCGCATTCAACCACAAGACTGTGAGAACCTTCCACATCCTTCATGCTGAAGCGCCGAACATGTTGCAGCAAACCCATCCGCTCCTTCTTGAACCAAGCATATCCAAGAATGATGGAGTGAAAAGAAAGCACGGCAAGGTTCTGATGCCTGATTTCCTGGCTGAGAAATGAAGTGGGGCATGGGGCCGAGCAGGGCATCGCTGGGCGGCAGCAGAGGTCCCGGTCCTCAGCCGAATGCTCTTTCTGTCGGCGTCTTGCCCTTTTGCCGGCCTGTGAAAGGGAGCATCGACGTTTGCCCTGCGACATATTCCTTGCTAGTCACGCGATCCACGTCGCAGGTGATGCCGTCGCAGTAGGTGTCCTGGGCACGCGGATGCACGCAGCAGGACTCCTACCGGTCCGTCACTGCCCTCTGAAGAAGTGCAGTCGGGTATCAGGCCAAGCAGTGAAGCCATGGGGGCACGCATAGGCAGTGGCGCACCTGAAGAAGTGCCCAAAGAGCCCGTGACGTGACGTCTAGTACTTTAGTCTGGCAACATCCAGTCTTGAAGCAGAAGCTACTGCGCACTCTCCTGCACTCAGAGTGTAGCAAGGTAAACTTGCAGGGGGCTCGGAAGATGTCGTTTGATGTCTCGTTGCTTGGAGCAGGCTTCGGGCTTTCGCCCAGCACCCCCCAAACCCTCTACCCTCCACTCCAGGCTGCAGCCGGGCCACAAAGGTGCCGGCTCGCAGCAAAGGTCTCGGTCGCGGTTGATGTCGCCTGTGGCTTCGAGGGTCTCACCGGCCATATACTTGTCGCGAGTTTGGTCGTGCAAGGATGTGCAAGGTTCACATGATGAACACACATCAACTCGCGAGCTTTCGCGCCAAGGAACAGATGGTTGCGGGGCAGTAGGTGTCAAACGCAAGCGGATCCTGAAGAAACGAAGGGTCTGGCATCCAAGCTCCAACATCTGCAACACTTAGACAAAGCTTTTGGGGAGATTGTGTTGACAGCCAGGGTCGACAAGCTTGAGTTCTTCTGCACGCTTCTCAACCTAGAAGGCGGGAGACTGCAGCAATCTCATCGCAGCCAAGGCTGAGGCTGGAGTGAAGCCGTGGCCACAGCTGAGCGTGTCGCCTGAGCAGGGTTGTGGGCTCCGACGAATGGTAGGGCTGGCAGAGGTGGAAATGCTTGGCCCTGCAACATCTCAACAGTCTCTACCTGCACACATCACCCGACCGACCCGGAAGCACTGCAAATGTGAACCGACAAAAGCCAAGCAGCAGTGAGCCGCGGTATCGCAGCACCGAAACAAGTCGTTGGTGGTGACGTTGCCTTTGAGATTTCAGGGCTCGAGCTAAACAGCAGCTCGCCGTGCAGCATGAGGTGCATAAAGAATTTTAGGTGAGGAACTCGAGTAAATCTACCTCCCCCCAAGTTGGGCATTGGCAATGCTGGGACCTAGCTCCACGCGCTCAAACCTCGACAAAGCCCTTAGCCCCCAAATCCCCCATCATCCCACAAGCCAAGAACCTCCAAGCTCGGACCCAACCCCACTACATCATCGCAGGCACACTCGCCAAACTGGCAGGTGAGAGCACCAATGTTCGACTTGTAGATGTAGCCTCAAAGTCAGCACCGGGACTAGGGGACATGGCTACTTTAGAATGAAAACAACTCCGACCCTCGCGTTCAAGCTATCCGTGTCAGGACTGTAGTTCTTCAGCCTGTGTTCTCTGTCAGGTCAGTCGATGCAGCGTGCAGATTTCCTTCCGTTCGATTTACTGCGACCAGGCGGCCATTGGGACAGGTGAGGGACGTGCATGGATCCGCCTGCTTGCCTGCAGGTCTTCTCGGCTTGATAAAAACTGTCGCATTAGATCAGATGGTTGACTTCTTTGAGGACTGGCTTTTGACTCGTTGGGGCCGTTAGGGCTTCAAGCCGATCACTGATTCGTTATGATTGTTTACTTGTTTGCAGCAGATCTTTGTCTGGCACGATTAGATGGACAACAGCGCTTTGTCAACCAAGCGAATGACTAAGATTGCTACACTACGCCGTCCGGGACTGATAATCGGTCGTGGGACCGATGCCGTGAACCAACCTTAGGGATGCGAGTCTGCCTTGCAACCTGGCACAGTTTAACCTCGACATTCTGCTTAGTTGCTGGCTGAAAGGACTGTCACCTCAGTGCTCTCGCTCATGCCCCAAGCGTCCAGAATCCCCGCGACCCCTCATCCGTCGCACTATGGTCCTCCCCCTTCAAGCTGAGCTGCAGCACACGTGCAATCGGTCAATGCCTTCGCTGCTTCGGTGAGAACTGCTTCGAACACTCGGGACTGAGGGAGGAGCGAGCGCTTGCCTCTCGCACCCTACGCGGTGCAGTGAAAGACTACCACGTGGGAGAACTCCATGTCAGGATTTAGCAGATCTTGCGCAACATGGGCAAGAAGGAAATCCGGAAACTGCATCCGCAAAGCCTACATGAAAAGCTCCAGATCTGAGCCCAGCTGCTGTCTTCGCAGGGATCTCGGGTGCAACGCTCGTCAAAGTCAAACCAGTAGCCTGAAAATCGCGTTGGGCGGATCAGGGGCACCCCAGATTTGAACCGCGAGGGCCGCATGATGCGAAGAAACTGCAGGCTGAAGCTCGACGCACTTCCCTTCGAGAACTCGCCCCTCACACCGAGCCAGGACGCCATAGGGGCAGCTGTTATCCTTGGAAGCTCGCGTCCGCTCTGCAGGGTAGCTCGAATGGAACGAGCGACGTGGAGTTGGGCCGAGCATCAGCGAGCGAGGCGCATCCTTCCGATATCGGACAACCTCAGCAGGTGCCACATGCCGGGACGGTCCAGGAGAACTCAAACTTTCAAGCCAGCACTTGGCCAAAGAGCAGTGGTCGAAGTCCAATGTCAAGTTGCAGGATGTGCCTTGGGTCCGATGGCATGGGGTCACCGTAGGTGCGAATCATGCTTCATCATACTTGCAAGATCCGGGACATTGACAGCAGAAACAACGTAACATAACAACTTGCAAAGGATTGGGTCGAGGATCTCCATTTGTGGAGGCAAATGCGTCCATAATGGCACTTGGAAACTCACCACCATATCTCTAGACTCAGACAATCGAAAGCCAAGTTACCGCTGCAGTACGTATCACCTGCAGCGACATTTTGGTCAAGGTGGGATTGCTCAAGAGCAGGGAACAGCGAAGACATGTGTCAGCATCAGGGGCCGCGTACCCACTCTGAACGATCGAGAGAGGCTTGGCCCGTAGCTTATCGAGATTTGCCCTTCCAAACCAAGCCTTGCACGCCGTCCCTCTGTGGTTGAGGATGGCAGTTTTTTGGGGCGTGGCTTCTGGGGAGGCGCGTCCGGAAATGTCTCCGCTGCAGACGAGCTGCTGAGCTGGTAGTAGCCATGTCCGCCTCGGATGTGCAGGACTTCGGACGTTGGCTTCCTCTCCTCTGACCGATTCTGATCGTTGATTCTACTTGAAACATCTCGGAGGTGAACACACAGCAAATTCAGAGATGGAGACTAGGAGCAAACCGAGGCAACAACTTCACGAGTTTGGAATATCAGCTCGACCCTCTCCAATTCCGCAAGACGCAGGCGCCGAACCCTCTTGGCAAATCTCATAGCTGCTAATCAGCTTCAACTCAACGCACTGCCCAGTCGCATGTGATGTCTGTGCAGGGCGCCGCCGCATCACAGCAGACCATGAGGTGCACGTCGATGTCACACTCCTAGAGCGACGACTAAACGCAACCGCCTCCAGAAGTCCCGGTCATCCCTCGCCGGGTGCAGCCAGGAGACTGCCGCCAGGCAGTAAATGTTTTCGCTGTCGGGCTTTGCAAGGAATCCTTGCTTGCAGAGAGAGACTTCGGATTAGATGCGGTGCCACCATGCACAGGCCGAGCAGCCATGCGAGCAGTTGAGGCCGATGTCGCAAGGCATGGCCCTCTGGCAGCACTTCCTGCGAGCATTCACTCCAGTGCCATCTCTGCACATGTGGACCAAAGCCGTCGTGCCCCGTGACTACGTGCTGTCTGGCTTGTGGCAATGGACTTGTGCTGTGGGCTCTCAATCGCAACTTCTCAACAGCTGCGCAACAAGCATTGCACGAGGATCTCAGAATCAACGATGTACCACATGATTGCTCCATGCGCCCACGACCCCGACGAAACCGGGAACACATTGAACGCTTCGTTTTGTCGCCCTTCGGTCCCGAGGTCCGTGACGTTGTTGCCTGCCACAAAGGGCAAAGACGAATGCTCTGTGCTGGGTTCATCAGGACTCGCTGTGTGTGTCGTGGCACGCAAGCTGGAGACTCAACAGCGCACTCGAAACTATCAACTGCTTCAAAGCTGCACACACGCTGGGCACAAAGATCCGCGCTGTTGAAGTACTCCCCGACGTCACCTTTTGACAAGCACACCAGGGTTGGCGAGGGCTTCTGAAATATCAGAGATCCATCTCGCCTGGGCGATACCCAGTATTGAGGAGTAAGGTCTTCGGGAAGTTCTGGTTTTCGGCATGCTCGACAACACAGCACACAAGTTCTGAACATCCTGAAGCCTGCTGGAATCGAAAGGATGCGAACATAATATCAGAACATCCATCCATGCCCTCATTGACCCAACACCTGCAGGCAAAACTGCAAGCTGCTTAAACCTGGTCGGGTGACAATCCTCGTGTGTGTAAGGGAGCAAGCTGCACGAGCCCTGCTGCTCGCAGCAGAGGTCGCCTAGGCTGTGCAGGGTTAGATCGAAGGTTCCGGGCTTATTTGAGCTCCGAGATCGCCGGCTACTTCAGGTTCTGAACGCCACTACTGCATCACAGCTTGTAGCCCGCTTAGCAGGTGACTGTGCAGTGCCGAGCAGCGATCGCCGTCAGGGAAGCAGATGCTGTTGGGGCACTGGATGTCGTAAGCATTGGGTTTCAGAACATAGCCAGTCCTGGACGAATCTCGAGGTCGAGTTGGGGTGTCGATGCTTAATTTCCCACGACCTTACCGGCGGCCAAGCTGCACGCACTGCAGGCCGTCGCAGAAAGCCGCCGGAACGCAGCAAATGTCCTTTCGAGGAAACTTGACGGAAGGCAGGCATACCTAGGAGCACATTTGTAAGCTGGCCTGCCTCAGCCATGACACACCAAACTACAATACCACCCCGACGAAGGCCCGCAACACCGGGCTGTTCGAGCGGAAGAGCAACCCATCCAGCCTGGTCTAGGATCTGATCGCAGTATCGATCCCTGCACCAACCGTTCCTTAGCACAGACGGCGGTTGTCGCAGGAACCCAAAGGAACTGGCACGAACAACGGTTGCTTCCGGCTTCAACCATGAACACAATCCGAGAAAGGTGCCAGCTCGACCCATCGACTCCTTTTATGCAGAATGATATGAGTACTAGCAGATGAGCCACAGCCTAGAACGTCTATGACGGACCCGCAGCAACAACCAGCTAACCAGCAACCCAGCCAAACTTTTGCGGACTTTTCCGCTGCAAAGACAGCAAGCCTAAAGAAGCACTCTAGAGTCCAGAGGTAGGCAGTTACTGGACCCGCGATTTTCAATCTCGACCAACACAACTCGCAGCTCCCTGGATCTGAGCTAAGATTCACCTCCGGCCTGAACCGCACCTGAAAGCAATAGCCAGCCACTTAATAGTCCGTAGCGGGAAATCCACCTACGACAAGGCACAGGTCGGGAACGAGGCTTTGCGTTCGATCGCAGGTGGTGATCACGGTGCATGGTTCTACCTCATTGGGGAAGGGAGCTGTGTACGCCACACTGGTGCCTGTGATGCCAGCCAGGGTGTGAGAAGCTGCGGACGCCGAACCCTCGACTTCACCCAGAAGGCCCAGACCCGATCGCAGCAAGTATCTCGATCTCCAAGTGGATCACAGACCTCACTTTTCGGTTTGGGTTTGGGGGCCCTGAGCTTTCTGAATGCCCGCAGAAGTGTATGAGGTCCAAAAAACTTCGATCCACCCAGAATCACTGGGGGGGAAGGCATGGGAAGGTCCAGGGGTCCGGGGTTGGGACGGATAGAAAAAAACTGTCTGCGCGGTGCGAATCTGATGTCGGCCGGGCAGCCGCCTTTGTACAGAAGATGTCCTTTGCGTCCAGCTTCAGTACGTAGCTGTACACACAAACCTTAGAACGGATGGTATTGGGAAGAATTCGGCCAACCAAAAAATGGCTCGAACCTTAGAACGAAACCCTACCATGGCAGAGCGCCTTGGCGCTGGACACGAATTCAAGACACCCGGGCCGGGGGAGTTCCAAGGCAACTTGCTTTCTGTTTGGCCTTGGAGCTGCCTCAAACTCAACAGCAACGACGCTGAAAAAGCAAAACCACGAGCCACTTGTCTTTCTCTTCCGCAAGCCCACTGCTACACTAAGATGCTAGGACCCATTCCCCTTACTGCAATGACAATCACCATGGCGGAACACTAACTCGCCGCGAGACCCCTAGCGACGCGCAGGGCGCCCTCTCGATGTAGAGCGTCCCATCAATGTTCTCCTGGGCTTTTTCGGACGGTCTCTGTGCATGTTATGGTCTCGAGCCTACGCTAGGACTTCCAAGACGACTCGAGGCGGCCGAGTTGCAAGGAAGTGCCAGAACAGCACGCTGGTGACGGTCTGGCCGAGGCTCAAGACGCCGCTCGGCATCCCTTTATCTCCCTTCACCACGCCTCGCTTAGCTCAACAGAAACAAAGGCAACCCCAAACAAGGCCAAGCCTGGACCCACGTGCCATCTTCTTTCCTGGCTTGCATCGTAGGAACGGGATTTCCGATTGGGATTTAGGCACCCATCAACTACTCGAAGAAGCCGTGCGCCAGTGGAAATCTACATCGCACATGCTTGCACCTGGAGCCCTGCAAAGCTTGGAAAATGGAGGGTCGGGCTCTGAGGTCGGAGCTGCAGCTCCGTCTCCAGGACCGAGCCTGCCCGAGGCTGGGCGGGTCGCTCAGTCTTCCAATCTAAGCTTTCGGATTCAGGTTTTTTCAGGGTTTTGGGTGTGCCTAGGTGGTGCCTGCTTGCTGCTACCAGAACAATTACCAAAAAACACCGAGACTGGGAAAGCAAACTGGGAACGATGCTGGGGCCTGACAGGCGCGAATTTCGTGCCGACTCCGCCCAGGATCCCGGGACACTGTCGGTCGGGTAAGAGATGCGCGTGTACCTGCTGCAATGCTTAGCGGACACCAGCTCGCTGAAGATTGCGAACAGGATGATCCCTGCTGCAAGATGTATTATGGATCTGTGAAAATGACCTGCATGTTGACATACTCGTGGCCAAGTCGTCAGCTGGGAACACCGGACGTTCTCAAACGAAATTCGCAAAGGTCCTGAACAGAACAATGAATACCCCTCTCCACCACAGGCCCTAACCGCCCCAGGGTCACTCTTGAAACAAAGCCTCTCCGGCTCCGTCCAGCCTCGGCTTGGACAGAATTAGCTGTTCGTCTTTCGGCAACACCGGATTTCCAGTTCAAGTCAGGACGTCCCTGGAAAGCGCGAATCACTCAAAATCTTGCAAAAGCCCAGCTGCTCGAAGTCGCCGTCCACTACTTTGAGCGTCTGATCTGCGATGACCTGGCACCCACCATCAGCAACAAACCCGGTGAAGCTCCTGCCATCTCCCGCTTCAGCCGGTCCTCCGGACTCTGAGCCTCTGCCGAGCCGAGCCGCGTGCGTGCACTGCTTCTTCCAGGACGCGTCCGGTTGCCGGAGGCGTGCGCAGAGCCGGGAGCCATCGAAGAAAGCGTCCTCCAAGAGGAAGGGGGGGGGGGGGGGGGGGGAGCAGGGGTTCCTGTCTTTGAGGAAGTGCCTTTGAGAGCTATATAGCGCTAGCGTCTTTGAGCTGAGGCGCAGAGAAACAACCTACCTACTTTCTCGACTTGCAAGCTGATGCAAATCCTTCCAGCAGCACTTGGTGGGGTCGTCTGCTCTCTGGAAAAGCTTCAGCAACTCGAAATGCTCCAGTGAATTTGCCGAGCTCCTGGGCATCGTTCGTCCATGCTCCACCTGATCAAAGATCCGGGTTGTGGGAATGCTGGGAACCCTCGTGGCGTGTTTCAATTTCCGTAGCTGTCCCACGGCTGCGTAGGCGCGAAACCGGGTAGTTATTGTGGTGCAGACACATATCTCACGTCCTGACATCCTGCCAGAGACTCAGACAACCAACCACCACAAAAATCTTCACAACTCTTCCCAGTGCTTCAGACATCGGAATGAGCCGCGGAGAGAGAGCAAAAAGAGACAGAGAGGGCGTCTTGCCTCAATCTTCGGACCCGGCAACTCAAGGGGACAAAATAAAACCCGCCTGGGAGGACGACCTCAGCACCAGGTTGGGCAATGCCCGGGACTTCTTTGTACACCTTCTCCCGAGGGACCTGCTCACCGGTTCTCGAGAAAGTCTGAGGCTGCAGCTCACGTGGTTTACAAGCTGCTGGGGCATTAGGGCGAAGGCCAAGGGATTGTGGCTGGAACTTGACACATGCGACACTGTGGATATTCTGGCAGCAACCTTGAAACACTGCGAACTTGCTATCGGAACACAAAACGAAAGGACAAGAGCTCTGAGGGTGCGAAAGAGCACCCCGTCATCCCAAACTGTCGGTGCACAACGCGTGCAGCAGCCAGGCTTCCCACTGACTGCCCTCGAGAGATATCGAAATACTGCTCCAGCGTCACGCGACACTTCAGCCTCGGCTTCACACCTACAAACCTCAGAGTGTCCCGCATGGAGAAACTTTGCATGGATTGGGGAGCCTCCTCTGTTCTCTGAAAACGGGGGCAGACGAAGTTTTCACCCAGCTTCTCGTGACAGGCAGAATTCGTAGACCTGTAGTGGGAGCCCCATCGATTGATCACTTCGTGAAGTCTCGGGCTCGGGTCTGCGATGCGGAGGTCGTCTGAAGCCAAATCAACTGCTGGCCAGGAGGCCAAGAAGTTGATGATGACCATGAACACACTGATGATGTTGCTGATGATGATAATGATGATAATGGTGGTGGGGCGGAAGATGCTGACGACAGGAGATGGACATCAAGATTGCACGAGTGTAACGGGACAGCAGTTGACAAATGGAAAATGCAGAACTACGTGCAAGTAATATTGCCTCCCACTGAGAAAAGGACGCAATGATCGCCTTAGATCCGAGACTCTGGTCACCGCTTTGCTTGGAGCTCTTTGCAACCGTTGCCCCACTCACGCTTCGAAAATCACAAGAAACTGCACCTCAAATCCAGCTGAGTGAGAAGCTGCATGCAGACTGTTGTTGCAACCGCATGACACCAAGAACCGTGAACGCCTCCGACCCACACATCGTCGAGATAAGTTCATCTGTTCTAAGTCATGCCAATGTTTAAGTTAAAGGCCACCAAACTGGACTTGTTGCTTACAAGCCTGGGGCACTGGCCAGGACGAGACACCGGCGGAACATTCCAGCAAGGCATGGCATTTGCAGGACGGAACCAAGCTTCGGCAACGTCGAGGTTCGGTTGCGGTATAGAGGTGAATGGGGTGGGCAGACTGGGCTAGGGTGGCTAGGGTTCTGCGGGAGGCTCCTCCCGGCCGGGTGTAGTTCGCGGATGCTCCTTTGCGCTCCAGCTTTATGTGTAGGTGGGCTGTGGGCTTGAAGGTTGTCCAATATGCAGAATTCTTGGGTGCAGGCTTTCAAAGTCCACGGGCTACAGTGGGGTGGGCCAGGACATGTCATGAGGCCCTTCATGATCTGCATGGTGCAGTTGAGCAGCTTCATGCGTCAAACATGCATAGGACTCGCATGTCAAAGCCTGAGAGGACTTGGGAACGAGGCTCTGAGTCGATTTCATGGCCTTGGGGAAAGGCTCTCCGATGCAAGAGCTTTAGCCGGGGCATCGTGTGCTGTCAAAAGGGGCAGAACCAAAGCCATCATCACTGAAGACTAAAATTAGCAGCGAAACGGCAAAAGTCTATTACGTGTAGCCTCAGCATCAGCAACAGAACACAAAAGCCTCCGAACACACAAGCTGCCGAAGAAGATCGTCCGGGGCCCTCTTGGGCAGCTGCATCCGACCCGAGCGCTGGCCGTCGTCTTTCAGGAAGACCTCTGTCACCTGCACCCGAACCGAACCGATGAGCTTCCCTAGGGTCCGAGATAGCGAACTGACTGCGAGTGGTTTCAATCGACGCCGCTACTGACAAAGGAGCACCTCTTGGGTCCTAGGTTGCGGGATGAAAAGTTGTAAGACAGAAACGCTGCGAGTACAGGATTGCAGGGCCCACGGAGTCCCACGACAAGCACAAAAAGACATGCTTCCTGTAACACTTCCGAAGGCAGATGTACGGTTGCTGCATGACCTGACTGCACCACTGCAGAGAAGGGATCTGAAAGACTGCTTCTGGTGCCATACCACTGCTGCGCATTGCCATTGCTTGCTCAGTAGGAAACTCAGGGACTCCGGCGTCCACTTCCACACTTCAGGATTCCTTCAAAAGTCGAGCTGTGTGTGCCACAGTGCCGTCAGAGTGCCATGCCACTGCCACGTTGCTGCAATGCAGATAAGGGCGACGCGCTACCCACAGTGCATCCCTGAGAATGGGCCAGACAAGATGTGCGGGAGCTGCATGATCCGTGCGCTTTGAACCTGTGAGGTGGCCGCTTGACTGGCCACTCAAGTGCTCGAAATCAAGATGTGTTATCAGCAGATTTTGGTACGATCCACTCATGCACTCTGCTTGACAAGAGCAGGCAAGCGCTTGATTGCAAGAAACATTGATCATTGTGCCATTTGCAGCTTCGGCAGGTTGACCGATAAGGCCGTCACAGGCATGAGGTTTAACCTTGACTGTTCGGATCCGGCAGTGATCCACAGACTGCACTGCAGCATTGGGTGTATTGATGTGTATTGCATTGCCAACTGCTCAGCTGGAAAAGGTGGCTTGCGCATCTGCTGGGTCATGAGGTCGCAACTCCATCGTCGCCCGTCGCTTAGAAGCCCCAGGACAGTTGCTTACCTGCCTTCGTTGCTTAACCGTTTACCTGGCACTGCAGGGATGCACAATCAGCTTGTGCACAGAATGTCAAGCATGCATCAACGAAGCCCCTCGTGCCGAGACATGGAATTGCAAACACTGAACCTAGCTGGGGGGGCACCTTTGCGAACTGTTAAGCTGTGCTTGGAGGAGCAGTGGTAGGAGACCCTCACGGGGACTGCATGCTTCCGTCACAAGCTCCGTCCTTGCGTCTCCTAACTTGCAGGCAGTCCCAGGTTTTGGGTCTCCCATGCTGTCCCTTTCGGGACGGTCGGGCCTGGCCAACCTTGCCAAACTCTTCCCGCAGGAACATCTCGGTGCTCCCGGCAGGAATGCCGCCGACCCACAACCTCGCTGGACCACTGCAGCATTCCGCAACTCAGGACTAGGACGGACACGGTCCTGCACAAGGGCCACTGCGGAAGGGATGAGTGCCAAGGACGACAGCTATAGGAAGAACACAAGATCCGGTATGACCAGGTCAAGCCAATCGAAAGGAAGCCCACAAACTGAGCATTGAATACGCTACAGTCACTATGACATCTGCTCGAATTTCGAGTAGCCGGATCTCGCCAAACTCGAAACCCCTCATTCCCTCCAGCTGTGGCCGTGGCTTGCACGGATTGTCTGCACGAGGCCTCACCGAGAGGGGCCTGTGGCCAGGGGGCTTCAGGATTTTGTGGCTGAGAGTCTCAGACTTGAGGCTTCTGCTTGTCACATCCCAAAGCACCCCCACCGGCCCACGTTCCTCCGTCCGGCTCAAGATCGAATCACATCCCGGGACTCCGGCTGTGGGGGCTCCGGCATGGGCGGAGGAGGCATCTGGAACTGGTCCTGGAAATCTCGGAGAGTCGTGACCCCGTGTTGCTACTGGGGTCCAAGAGGCTGCATGGACATGTCTCGAAGGTGAGCAACACAAGCCAGCGGCTTGCTCGGAAAATCGGAAAACCCCGATAATCCCTAGCCCTTCACCTGCGCAGCGCCCATCGCCTGCTGCGCGAAGGCTCCTGTCCTCATCCAAGGATCCACAATCGACAGAGAAGTTGGTAAGAGAGAGGGAGATGGGTGTTGCCAGAGACAGCCGAGGACCGGACGCGAAGGCCGACAGGACTTCCGTGGCTCCAGTCGAGTCCACAAATGTGACAAAGCCCCACCTCAGCACTGGACAGGCTAACAAAGCACCTGCATTCGGTTCAGAACAGTGGGGAATCGACAACAAACCAGGATGCCCGGCATGCGGCCCTGGACCTTTCCGTCATCGCGTATGTACACATCCTGGACCTCGTGGGAGCACTTTGCACAAGTCATGAAATCAAGAAGATCACCATGTACCATGATATCATGGGCTCCAAAGGGCCACCCATCATTCCCGGGTTTGTTGCTTGCTTGGTTCCTGTGCACATGCCGATCTTCGAGGTGCGAGCAGCTCCGTACTTCGAAAACTCGTGGTACATGAGGTCCTGCAGGCAGACCATTGAGGACAGCCGCCCGACCCAACAAGGAGGGACTGAAGTGACTTCTCTCGCTGGAGATTTTAAGTTGCCCAGGAGTGTAATACCTTCGGTTTGCTCGGGCTTTCCATCTGTTTAATAGGTTAGAAACCGTCCCAGGCACTGCAACCCAAAACTGTGGCTGGTTCCCGTCCTTCGTGGTTCCCAGGGGGATCTGTCCCACCCACCTGCATGCGGTACGGATGCCAACAAGGGCTTCTTCTTGCGTCGCCAGAATCCGAACCCTTCGCCATGCCTTCAACATCCCACTCCAGCTGTACGAGACGAGGCCCTGCCCGAAACTCCCCCATCGAGGCAAGCCACAACTTGTTGCCAAGGTCATTGGTGTGCGTCGCAAGCTTGATCTCCAAGCCTCGCGTCTGCTTCCGCTTGCGCCACTTTGGACCGGTCCGAGACATGGAGTCTGTTTGGCATGGTTTCAGCTTGGGAAGGCCCTTGAAGGCTCGGGCCCACTTGAAGGTTCGCGTCGGTTAGTAA